GGTTCGAACAGGAAACTTGAGCATTTTTCCGTCCAATTTCAGTTTACGTAGAATAGATAGTGCAATATCACTCCTATTCATTTTCAGTGCTTGCGGTATTAAATAAGCTTCACTTTTGGACCTCAGAAGATCAGCTGCCTCACACGTTACCCCAGCCTGTCGTTTCCTTTTAATTTAATGTACGTGACAAGTGCGGTGGTCGCAGTGGTCATGCAGTTGCTAACCGATTTGCTTGATGAAAGTTTCGACATTCTAAGAATGATCATTCATAAATCAACTTTCCTAATGGACCTGTTAATAATCCAATTTTAATAGTCTTCAAAAACAGCCACTTCTACATGCTCTATTCTATCATTAGGAATGATTTAAATCCTGCAGCAATTTAAACACATTTAAGTGCACAGTACAAGTCATTTTTTGTAAAAAAACAAGTTTTTGCTAATAAAACCTGTTCCAAGTACTATCACCAATGGAAAATCGTTTGAACGGAAATGACTCGGGTGGAGCAACTTCAGATGACAATAGCAACTAAGATTAATTGTTCCAAAAGGCAAAATGACCCATATTTTGGATGAACAAATGTGACGACGATGGCAAGGCAGTCGCTTTAAGTTATTAACCTTTCTCTCAACTTTAAGTTGTCAAATAAGCACTTTACAGTATGTAGCTTAAAAGTTATTCTAACATATATACAACATGCATATGGAAAGGTCTAGCGTTTACGTTTTTGCTTTTCCTTCCTACCACCGCCACGACCACTCCTCTTTGCTTTATTTCTCAGTCTGAATTGATTTTGTTTCTCCTTTCGACGTCGTAGCTTAAGAATCTGTTCAGGTTTTCGCATCTGGCCAAAGGTCCGACTCCCCTTAGCTTGCTTTATTTCTTTGGTCTCCTCCAAAGTCTTCCTCTTAGTGGCATTTTGCAGAGTCCGATGGACTAAAATCCAAATGCCCAACGAAGGTTTAAAAACCAAGACCCTTAATGTGAAATTGAAGGAGAAATGCATGACTTACACCGAGACATAGTGCCCACAACCTTGAACCCACTTCTATTACCATTTTTGGTAGTAGTGTTATTGGTCTCGTTATCATGATTGGCCCTCTTGTTCTTCTTCGACCATTGCGTGCCGGAGCGTCGGTTAAAGAACGTACCATTCATATTCCCGTCATCTTCCAAATCCATAAACTCCACCACGCTCCCATAGCGGGCGTTAAAGAGGCTAATGAACTTATCCTTTGGCTTTTTCGATTCTGCCTTCGTCGTTTTTGACGCGTTTGCAGTCTCACCGCTCCCATCCACTTCTGCCTGATTACCCATACTCTCCATATCCACCTTGCTCTTCTTCAGCCACATTTTGTATCTGCAAACAAAATTACAACAGTTGATATTTCAGAGAATAAACTGGACATAAAGATCTATTATCTACCTGTCGGTCTTGTAGGAGGCAGGGATGGTGGCACCACTCTCTGTCTTGATGCGCGCCACATTGGCTTTCCCAGCAGCCACTTCCGGGTTGACGAAACGCTTTTTCTTACGGTCCCATACTTGTAGCACTTTCTTCGAGCCTGCTGGACGTCTATAACACTAATAGCTTCCATTGGCGGTACAGAAAAAGCATCGCCCTTGTGCCCCATGAAAAAGCTGGCTTATACTGATTTTGAGCGTTTGCATAAAAACCTTTTCGATCGTAATGTAGCCTACAAGCCAAACTAACAGCATCTATGCTGCTAATCTCCGAGGTGTCCTACGTACATGTAGTGAAGCTACCTTCCGACTAATGAACTGATGACGTATTCATGGATGAGTGGGCACTGACACCAGTAAAACCTACACAGCCTCAATCATTTGGCGTAAAAAAGGGTCCTTAAAATTGTTAGTACAGGAACGAGTCGAGGATAGGAAAGAGGTAAGGACGAAACGACGTACCCGTAGGAGATACCAACTTCATCTCCTTGGACATCAAGACGAGCGGCCTCAGCAGAGAGGGCAAAGTTGTTGACACCAACATCGAGCGCGGCGGAGGACATACTCAGTCCCCGTTCCGTTGCTTCATCTCCTCTCATCATCGGTACGAAGTAAGTGGTTCCTTCTGGTGGTGCTATTTCATCCTACAAGACAGATGGTTCGACTGATCAATGATGAGACTTACAAATACATCAGAAAACGTCAGTTAGAGCAGTAAGGGGGCCAAACCCGCCGTGAGATGGAAATTAGTAACCTAGCCTTGCAACATCTACTCTGCGCCACAATCGAAAAGGGACAAGATTATAATCGGAAGAAATAGCTCCATTTTCGAGCGGCGAACACTTACAATGTTTGCAAAAAGTGGCTAGCGAATAGGCAAGGCAAACGGATAATCACGCGGCAAAAAAGCACAGAAAAAGGGACTTTCATTGATTATGCCACTGAATCAAATTACCTGCGCTCTGAAGCATGAATTCGTGCACTAATTTTCACATTTATCATCCAAGTGAACTGATAAATACATTTCTCGCAAAAGACGTTATGATGTTCTACCCGTCAAAATTGTTGGAATGATTGGTAATGTTGAAATTCCCGTATTACTTAATCTATGGTTTGTCAAAAATTACTTGAATCCCTATTTCCGGACGATGCCAGATATCGGAGCACGCAAAGGCTAACTTTAGTGCTCCAATTCAGCAAAGTGAGGTATCATTAAAAATTCCAAAACAAACACAATGCCATGGAAATGCTATAGTCATTTGGGAATTGTAGCGAAAAATTCATATGCAGCTTACATTGTTACTTTCTAATTTATGCTACATCACCACCAGTAAAGTAGCGGAAGAGAGTGCTCTTACACAAACCATTTTCTACGTCGCAAAAATTATTAACAATTGAAATAGACTTGACATGCTATTAAAAAGGAGGAGATCTTATAGAATCCATATTCTGTTACGAAGAAAACCGATGGAATGAAGAGGG